ACACTTCCATCCTTAAAATAAGCCCCCCGACATAAGTGATAATTTAATATACATCATGCCATCTGCTTGCAGAACTGTGCAAGCTGCTCCCTGAGAAGTCAATGGGAAATGTATTTTTCCTATTATTTTAAACATTCTGGGATCAATCTTGATGTCACAAAGGCAGGCAATAGTCACCTTTCCCCAAAGACAAATACAGTTTGTCACTAGGGTGAATAACCACTGCTGCAAACCCACCATATCTCCTCCTCCTCCTCCTCCTCCTCCTCCCTTTGCCCTTCCCAGCCCTCAGGATGAAAACACAGAGTGCTCTGCCAGTTAAAAAAGCAGATGGGGAAAGGAGAAGGTTTCAGAGCTACAAAGCACAGGAGCCCTGGCAGCAGCTTTTCTATTTATCCACTGTGAGCTTCCATCTTAGAAACTTTTACTGATCTTGACCTGACCTACAGAAACGTTTCAGCAGCATTTGAGGTTGGAGGAAGGACACATTTCACTGTTTTCCCTTTATTCCAGTTTATACAAAGGCTGGGTCAAGCCTTGCAGAGGTATTTTTGTGCATGGGTCTTCTGCTGCTTTACTGCAGGCTCATTGGAACTTGGGAAGACAGCACAGACTCCACTGGGGGTTTTCTCTTTCTGAAGAAATCACTCACAAACATGTAGAGAAATGGGGGATTGAGGCTGACTCTTCCCCAGTTCCTGGCTGCTGGTGAACCTGCATCTCAGGCATTTGCTCAGACAATCTCTGGATCTTGTGCTATAAAATTATAAATGTTGCCTGCTCATCTCCTTATAGCATGTCTGTGTGCAGAACTCCCTCCATCTTTCTTCAGCTCAAGTGTGCAGTTTAGTTAAATTCCCCTCTTCTCATGTTAGTGCTGTTCCACTGCTTCCATCATCCTTATTCCTGTCATTCATACTTTTCCAGCTTCCCAGGATCCTTCTTGAGGGGGGAGAAAGGAAACTCAAGCAGCACAGATTTTTCAAGGTGCAGAGGCACCAAGATGTAGAGACATGCAAAGCAATCCTGGCTGGGGGGGGCACATTTTGATGTCTCCACTCAAATCATAGAATGGTGGGATCGTGGTATGGTTTGGGTTGGAAGAAACCTTAAACCTTATCCAGTTCTACCCCTACAATGGCCAGGGACACCTTCCACTATCCCAGGTTGCTCCAAGCCCCATCCAGCCTGACACTTCCAGGGATCGAGGGCAGCCATAGCTTCTCTGTCATAATTTCAAAAAACTTTCTCTGCCAAGACACTTCAAATTCAAGTTCCTTTGGTGTTCTTTGATCCATCCGCTATGGCCTGCAGATCAGAAGTTACTCATTTTACACCCTGCTCCTTTCTTGGCCCTCCACACTGCCTGGCAGGCTTCCTAATCCACTGGTGTTTGTAAAAGGATTGATAATTCATTCCTTCTCTTAGAAAGTAGTTCTTCAAATCTCTTAGTCTACCTTTTAATAGAATGCCTGCTCTCTATTTTTTCCATGTTTGAACACGAAGTCTTCTTACTTGTAACAGCCTCCTTCGCTCTGATCTTTAATTACAGTAGCTTTCTTCTGGTCTTTTTAAAAGTCTTTTTTGATACACTCTGAGTATTTTCTCTGAGCCTCTAATATGGTGTCTTTAAACAATATCTCTGCTGCTTGCAAACATTTCACCCCGTTGTGGCTTGTACTAATTTCCTTTGAACGAGTCGCCCCATTTTTCGTAGGGCTCCTTTTTAAATCCAGCGCTGTGCTCGGTGATATTTTTGGCTGCCTTGTTCCTATGACTATACTGGAGCTCAGCACATTATGGCTCTTCTCCTACAGAGTCTCTCTTTGATAACACCATAATGATCCTGGGCTGCACAAGGAGTTCTTTTTCCAATGACTAAATCTCCAAGGAGTGTTTGTTCACAGGTATCTAAACATTTACCCTCAGTATCCATTATATTTATCTGTTGTACGTGAACGAAAATGTTTCTCCTTTTTAGTGCATCTTGTGTACCCACAGCGGTTTTGGGCTCCTCTGGGTCACCTCAGGCAGTGCCACTGCCCTGGCCAAGCCATTGAGGAGTAGCTCTGTTGTTATCCTATTCTTGGCTCTTGCCCCAAGAGATCTTCACCACTTCCCACAGTGTCTTTCTCACCTTTCATTGTACCCTTCTGTCCAGAACAAACAATCATTGGCCAGGATTCAATTTCCAGACAAACACCATCCTTTACACTCACACCAGGGCACTTGTACAGCCAGGAGGGATGAGCTGAAGGTCAGGAGAGCATCTTCACAGCTGGGGGCTGAGTCTGGACTCTCAACAAGGAAAGGACATTGCCTGGAGGGTGGGAGATGCTGCTTCTAATACACTTCATGTAATGACTCTGGAAATTGGGCTCTAAGCAGCCTAGTCTAGTGGAAGGTGTCCCTGCCCATGGCAGGCGGTTGGAAGGAGATGAGCTTTAATGTCCTTTCCAACCCAAACCACTCAGTGATTCATACATCTTATATAACATTATATTCTTTTATATCTATATTTGATCCTGTTTTATGTGCATTCGCTCATGTTTTAGGGGACTAAATCTTTCCTCATCCCTACTTTTTGGAGGGGACTGCCACCAAACCCCAGTGGCATTGTTGATCTGCAAATTCTGGAGCAGCACAAGGCCCTGCTGGGATCCAGGCATTGTCCTCTGCATCCTGTGAGAGTGGAGCTGCTGATCTGGGAATGGAGTTGGAAAACATTCTGATGCTGGGAGCTGTGTGCACTTGCTGCAGAGCTCGTACAGGTGTGCTAATGAGAGACTCTGTTCATCACAAGCCTGAGACCTTGGAGAATATTAGTAAAAATGCCAATTTGCATGTCTTGGGGTTAATTGAGGGAATCTCCGGTGGAAAAATCTTACTGTCACTTCGGAAGCCGGTTCTGAATACAAATTGTGTGTCTCTATTGGATATTCAGAAATCTTTTCAACTTCTTTGCAAACCTGTAGCAATACAGAAGGTTGTTTGCTCCCAGAAGTTTTCCTCAAAATTTCAGACATTTTTTATCTGTGTTGATATTAGCAGAGGACTCCTACACCGAGCATGGAGAATATGTGGGGTCCTCCACCAAACAAACGAGAAAGGGGCATGAATATTTTCTCAGCTATTCCCCAGGCCACGTGTTTTTCATAGGAAAAGACACATTTCTACATGCAAAATGGCAATTCTTTTCAAGTGGGGCAACACTCTTATTTTATGCCTGTACTCTAATCCAAGTTTCTTGCATATAAAAATAATTAATGGATGTTTTTATCTTTGTTTGAGCTAGGCAGTTGTTTGACAAGATGCAGTTGTCTCATTGAGAAACAGGGAAGCAGAGAACTGGTTCATTCACCTGATCCTGATTAAGAATCGGTGCAGGGTTTTATTATCCTGGGATCACAGTGTGTTTTCTCATCACGTGGTCTTCTAGGGGATTTCTTTCCTTTTAGAACTGTTTTATTATATGCCACTATAAGGCTACCACCAACAGTGCAAGGCACAACCAGAAATCCCAAATATTTCTCTGTTTAATTGCAAATATTTCGTGATGCTCTGATCATTCCATCAGCCATTGGGGGATTTTATAAATGTCTTGCTCCACATTATGTTGGTATAATTAACTACTCTTGTTGAAACACCTAATTTTTGGAGGAGTTTATGGAAGAACACAAGGGAGAGGCATGGGTTTGATGCTGATTTTAAATGAATTATTCCTTGGTTTTCAAAGTTCACTTTCAGTAGTTTTGACATTCAGTCTTTCTTTTTTTAAGCTAGTATGTCCTATGGAACAAAAAGATTAAAAATTAATTAGAAAAGACAAGAAACAAGAGCAAAAAGGCCAAATTTTCCCCTCAGCAAAAGTTTCTTAAAACCAAACTCACTTTCTGAGCGTCCAGCAGAACACAAAAGTTTTACCAAATTCCTTTCACTTCCCTTTCTCCAGTTTCCTCATTTGAGCATTCTGATGGGGCTGTGCAACGCTGCTGATTTCAACGTGTCACAAGGGTTGTAATTAAAAGCAGAATTCTTCCTTGATTATGGCTCTGATACGTGCCCTTCCCAGCAGCTGGAAGATGATAAGCTCTAAAATCATGGAATCATGCAAAGCACTGCGGATAATGCTGCATGCCATGGTACGGATGAGTGACAGGACACGGCGACACGGCCTCCAGCTGTGCCAGGGAGGGTCAGGTTGGACATCAGGAGGAATTTCTTCATGGAAGGGGTGGTCAGGCATTGAAAAGGGCTTCTCAGAGAGGTTTAGAGTCCCCATCCCTGGAGGTGTTCAAGGAATGACTGGACCTGATGCTCAGTGCATTGGTCTGGGTGACAAGGTGGGGATGGGTCACAGTTTGGACTCAGTGGTCCAAGGTCTGCTGAGGTCTTTTAGAAAGTCTTTTCCATGTGCCCTCATCAGGTGTGAGTTTCTATTTAATGCAACAGAGGCAACTGTGGGGGCAGAAAATGTTGGGATGGAACCCCAAGTGGGTGCCCAGTTATGTCTGGAGTTGGCATCGTTGCTCCAGTGTTCTCTTGGGTGAGTCCCAATTCTCCAGGCCCAAGAGAAGCTGTGGCTGTCCCTGGATCCCTGGAAGTGTCCCAGGCCAGACTGGATGGAGCTTGGAGCAACCTGAGATAGTGGAAAGTGTCCTTGCCATGGCATGGGTGGGATAAGATGATCTTTAAGCTCCCTTCCAACCCAAGCCACTCTGTGATTCTGTAGAACACCACATCCATGAAGTGGGGACAAGCACACAGTGTTTCTCTCCTTGCAAAGGCAAGCGGTGTTACGAGGATAAATAAAATTAATTACTGCCTGGAATAGTAAAAATACACACTACAATGGGGAACTATACAATGAGGACAGGTTTCAAGATCTGTCACAAGCTGCTGAAGGAGAAATAAAAATCTTTTTTTTTCACCGGGTTTAACATGGGAAAAGCAACCCAGGCAGTCGCTTTTGAAGAGAAATTAGGAGCAAAAGAGAACACTTGTGGTAAAATGTTATAATAGTCAGAGCCAGAAGATCCTACTCATTTCCTGTAGGAGGAAAGTCACCAAGAATTGGAGAGGGGAAAGCCCACATGATTAAAGGAAGAACAAGACTGACTTCTCCCTGACTGACAGTCTCTGCATCAGTGCTGTTCTGTTCCAAGACTCCTGTTCCCAAGGTAGTACAATCCAGCCAAAGATAAAGCTGCAGGAAAACAGAGAGAACATCAAAGATTCGCTTCCTGATGGCAAAAAGAGGCAGATAATTAAATCTCAGGTGGCAAATGAGGTTTCCACCCAGGCTAAGACTGACCAGCAAGACGACCCTAGAAATGAGATATAAAATAGCAAGTGCAAGACTGGAAAAGATGGGGTGTTGTGGGTGTGTTTAATATGTGATACACACAGTTCTGGCAGGGTGTTGAGCTCCATTTCCACCTCTAGTCACAATGTGGATATGAGTTGGATGAAGCCACAGCAAAGCTGCTGCATCCTCAAGTTTTATGGTAAAATCAATCCTTTGAAAGAGACAGGTTTCCCTATTTACTCTTCATTGTGAAATGACTTTAAAGTTTCAATGTTTTGTGTGTGTGTGTGTCAAAATCAGCTTATGTAGATGTGTTTGCATACAGTTAAATAAAAAGATGTGTAATTTGTATTTTCACCCATCTCTACTTTCATATACAGCTTTAAGTGATGAGCCTCACACATGGAGCCTCTTTTCTTTGCCAGACCATAATTTTATCTGACCACAGACCTGTGAGTAAATTTTCTAGGACCAGAATTAAATTTTCTAGGACCAGGACCGAATTTTCAAAGGAGGCTTGACATATCCTAGAACCATAAAGCCATGAGCAGGAGCTGTCTCAGCACCTTGTTCTGCTGTGTCTCCTGAGATCTGCAGTGCCCCCCTGCACTGGGGCAGGGCTGGGATGGGCAGCACCAGCCTCTGCAACTTTTCTGTGGCATCACAAGGACACTATTTTTACTTATCTTATATAGGAGCCTTCCCACTTAGAGATTTCACAGTTTAGCTACTTGAGACTTCGCTGTCATGAAAAAAAAAATGCAGTTTTCTTTTCAAACTCAACAAATCACTGCTGTTACAACACATCCACTAATCAGTAAATTGGTGGGATGGACAAGCAGGTTTGTCCTCACATTCGTTCCTCTCAGGGAGGGAACCCTTTTAACTCCTTGTGCTGAAGCTGTTGAGATGGGTGTCTAATGGGCCATATGTTCCTGGAGCTGCTGGGAGAGCCCTGTGACCCAGCCCTTGCTCCATCAATTAATCCCTCACCTTCCTTCTCACTGTCAAACTAAATGGGCATGAACAAAGGCCAGGGAATGGCTCTTTGCCCTGAGGCCAAGTGGTACAACTGAGCTCCCTGTCCCCAAAACAAGGCTGGCCACTCCACACCATTCACTGGGAATGAGCCCTGGCCCTTGGCTGTGCCTGAGCAATTTTTGGGTCAATGTTAGTTGGCACAGACCTAAACCAGTCCAGGGAATGTGCTGACCATTGCTCTGCCCTCACAGCCTTATAGCCCAGCACCACAGGCCTCACCCGGGCCTCCCTTCCAGGCTAAAGGTCTGTGTTTTCTTTAATTTAATATTCAAATACCAAATAAAGTTGAAAAGCTTCCAATGAAGAAAGATAATGCACCTACACTCCATCTGGGGATCAAAGCTCTGCAGAGAGATGGGGGCTTAAACTCTTCAGAGAAAGGAGGGCATAAATCCCTGGTATCCAGCATCCTGCTGGAGAAACCCATTCCCAGAATTAATGAAATAAAACCATTCTCCAATTCTCTGGATTGTGCTGGTCGTGACTCGCCAAAACCTTCCTACCAGATTGAACCTCTGAAGTGGGATCGATGGGGGAAGCCTACAACGTGAGCCATAACAAGTTCAGTGCCCAGTCTCATAAACTGGATTTCAGGATGGCGCATCTAGTTAAACAATTAGACCCATGAGATTTACCCAAATGCCTTTGAGAGTGTCGTTCACATCTCCTCACTCCCCAGCCCAATGAGAGAATCACACAAATGAAAATATGGCATTGCTGGGGGCTGAGGCCTTGTAGAAGTGGCCTTCTCCAGGCCTGTCCTGATTCCAAAATCCACAGATTCCCTGCAGCAAGGTACCTCTTTTATCAACCCTTTCAGCTGTACCTGGGGTTATCAGGTTGGATATCAGGAAAATGTTCCTCCCCAGAGGGTGTCAGGTGCTGATGAGGCTCCCCAGGAAATGGGCACAGCCCAAAGGCTGCCAAACTCCAAGAAGAATTTGAACAATTTCCTCAGTGATGCAAAGGATGGGATTGTTGGGGTGTCTGTGCAGGGCCAGAGCTTGGATCAGTAATCCTGGTGGGTTCCTGAAATCTTAGGATATTCTGTAATTCCAACTCTGTAGTTCACCCTTTCCCTCCCCACCAAGAACTGGCACAGCTGTTGTGTGTGGGGCAGGACAGGGGATCCCCAGCATTCCTGGCTGTGTGACAGAACAATGGGAACCCCAACACTGCATCCCTGGAGATGTTCCAAGAGCAGAGTCCAGACCTGTGTCGAGTCAACAGAGCTGACCAGACAGAGACCCTGAGTGACCGTGGTCCTGTCAGCTCTGTGGCACCGCTGTGGCAGCCGGAGCTCCTCCATGGCTCAGCTCCTGCAGCCCTTGCTCACCCCCAAGCCCTCCTGCAGCACAGGTAGGGCCTGATCCCGACTGCAGCAGCCCAGGGATGCACTGTGGGGACATTCCCAGCCCTTCCTGCCCTGACCCTCTCCCTCCTCCTCCTCCTCAGTGCCCTCAGTGTCTGACCCCAGCTTGGGCTGCAGCCTCCCACAGGATCAGCCAAGCCCCACAGCAGCCCTGTGCCCCGGCCAGCTGTGGTCCACAGGCTCAGCAGGGCACGGCCAGCACCCCTGGCCTTGCCTGAGCCATATCTGCCCAGGGCAGACCTTTGAGAGCTCCTCTGCCCGGCCCCGTGTGCCCTGGGTGATGCCAGAAGTGTCCCCATGCCCCCATGGACTCTGCAGGCACCGGTGGCACCAGCCCCATTTGCAAAACCACCCAGCTCTGGCTGCCTGGGAAGGTGGCCCTCACTGAACAGAGTTCCAAAGTCATGCTGAGCACAGAGCATGGCAGGACCCCTGGCAGGAAACATCAGGAGCCACAGCAGGATGCAGGGACAGACGTGCCACCACCCCAGGGCAGCGTGTCCACACATGGCATCAGGCTGGAAAGGGGAGGGAAGAAGAGGGAGAAGGACCCTCTGCCCAGAGCTGACAGCAAGCTCAAGGCTCCCAAAGGCAGAGCTGGAGCAGAAATGTAGGATTAGGCCTTTTGAGGGTTCACATCATTTGGGGATGGAGGAAGGCTGGTTTTGATGCTGTAGATGAAGATGTAGATGAAAAAGTAGCTGTGGCTGTAACTGTAGCTGTAAATGTGGACATAGAAGATGATCACTGTTTTGCTTTTCCATTCAAACAATTTCATCCATGACCTGTCTGTGTCTGCATGCAATGGGAAGGGAGTGCAGAGGGCTCCAAGAAATGGCAGCCAAGAGGTGCAAAAGCATCGCTGAGCCCCACAGCAGAGCCACCAAGCCCCAAAGGGCAGCAGGAAGTCCCCAGGCCTGAGTGACTGCCAGCAATGCAGACAGTCCTGGAGCAGGACTGCCCTGGACCCTTCCCCAGAGGAAGCAGACCTTTGGCATGGGGGCCAGGACCACCGGGAGTTTTAGTTTGAATGTCAAATGTTTTTATTCACCTCCTGGTTTTTGAAAATGCTGCATGTTTTTCAAGACTCATAGAATCCTGGACCAATTTGTTTTGGAACAGACCTTTAAGATCTTCTAGTTCCAGCCCAGCCCTCCATGGGGACCAACTCCTGCAGTATCTCTTCAAGTGCAGGAGATAAAAACTTCCTTCAAAAATGAAAGTTGGTTTTCTTATACCGGGAAATAACAGATAGTTCTTGGGAAAAGGTCACAAGATTATCCTTAAAATTGTGAGATGTGCAATGAAATCATGGGCGGTAGTGACCTCACCTTTCTGCCTGGGTAGGACACTGTGTGTTTTTCATATCCTAAAGGTACAACAGTAAAATGTTTCAAAAAGAAAATAAATGTAATGTATTCATAATTGCTAATGTGATTGAGAATGTACATTTAAGAAATGTAATGGCATAAACCTGAAGAAATCTAATTCTGAAAGGAAGCTGTCTAAATTTAGAGTGATGTAGTAATAATTAATCCATTTAACATTCCATGCTGGTTTCAGCCCCAGGAATGACTAAACAGAGGACTGCCCCCAGCTTAGGAGGGGCAAGGAAAATGGAAGAGGTTATTTATATAAATATATGGGTACTTTTTCTGCCAAGTCAAAACAGGCCATCTCCAGCAGAAATATTTTTTCCAGGTCAATTTGCACTCTGGGTTAGATGAAGATGCTTTCCACCAAAGTGAGGGCTAAACTAGACCACTATCCCAGGTTGCTCCAAGCCATATCTGGCTTGGCCTTGGACACTTCCATGGATCCAGGGGCAGCCACAGCTTCTCTGTGAAACGTGTGCCAGGGCCTCTCCACCCTCACAGGGAAGAATTCCTTCCCAATATCCCATCTATGGTTCTGTGGGAGGTGTCCCTGCTTGTGCCAGGAGCTTGGAACGAGATGAGTCTTAAGGTCCCTTCCCACCCACACCATTCTGGGATCCTGGGATTCTATGGAGCATCTCCTAAAGGGAAAGTGTGAGGGTGATAGAGGATCTTATCCATGCACACAAATAACTTAAGGGTGGCTCTCAAGAGGTTGGGGTCAGGCTACTTTTGTGGTGCTCAATAACAGTGCAAGGAGCAATGGACACAAACCAAAGCATTTGTAAGTTCTATCTGGATATGGGGAAAAAAACTTTCTTACTCTGAGGGTGAAGGAGCACAGGAACAGTCTTCCCAGGGAGGTTGTGGAGTGTCCTGCTCTGGAGATATTCCAAAGCCACCTGAATGAGAACCTGTGTGACCTTTTCCAGTGACCCTGCTCTCGCAGGGGGGTGGCACTAGGTGGTCTTTAGAAAGCTCTATCAATGCCAACCCTCCTGTGATGCCATGGAGAGAGGGTCTTCTCTCAGGCCTTAGTCCTGGGGAAGAAAAAACAAAACTACAACAACAATGGAAAATAACCAAAACAGAGCCAAGCAAAAAGGAAAAGTCATTGGGACCATGGGACATAAATAGAGACAGAAGTAAAATCCATTATAATTTCTGGCCTTTGAATCATAGAAACCATAATATAAGCAATGCAGCAGGAAGTTCTTGTTTAATTCAGTGGATATCAATGAGAAACTTCTCAACTGAACAGCATCAAATCCCAGTCCTTTTGGCTTCTGTCAAATATTCAGCCTGTTATTTAACAATATTTGTTGTTATTATTTATTTTTTCCCCTGCTTCTTATGAAAAACCTGACAACTGTTTTCAAAACCTACTTGAAGTCTGAATCAAAAAGTTAGTGAAATGTTGAAATGCCATACAGGTCTCACTGAAACACACACAGCTTCATTCTCCAGGAAGCTTGCAGTGAAAAGGGAGCAATTACATTGTAGGACTGAAGACTAAAGCATCACCTGAGTGTCTTGTCATGCAGAGCAGGGAACGTGGAGACCCCAGAGGCAGAACTGTCACCTGAATTGAAAGCATTTGGTGTCAAGGGACATTACCCTGAGGGATGGGGGACAAGGGAATTTTTCTCTCTGTGTTGGTCAGACATGTAAAGCCGTAGGGCCCTGGTCCAGGTGTGCAGGAGCTGGTGAATAACAATCAGGCTACACTTGAGCTGTCACTGGGTCTGGGCAAACTCTTCCCATAAAAATATCCACTGGGAAGCCCCAGGATGGGAACCATATCAGACACAGTGACAGGGAGGTCTCCTGGGGGACTGCCATGCTGGGATGAGCATGATCCTGTTGGCCTCTAAAAAGAAAAATGCTTCAAAATCTAAAATATAATGCATATATTTATATACACATCTATCTCACTCTGTTTGTATAAATGAGATCTTTTTTTCACATTAAACCCTTTCTTCATACCCAGCCTGGCCTTCAGATGCTATAAAGTGATGTGCCAGGGTTGTCTGAGCTCTGCTGGCTGCAGACATGAAGCCAGAGGGAGAAGGGAGCAGCAATGAATGCGGCTTCGGCTTCGCTGGAATTACGTAATTACTTTCTTCAAGCTAAAAGTATTTCAAGTGTTTGATTGCCAGTGCTACATAACAATCTGGAGTAATTATATAATTAGCAAGAAATTGCAGCTCCCATTAGGTACTTAGAAGAAGTCAGATTTAGGTTTGATTTTTTAAAAAGGTGGGAAGTTGTGCACATGTGGGTTTTTTGCATAACGATATGACCTCGAAGAAGTTAGGGAGTTGATTTTTTTCCTTTCCATAAAGGAACATTTCAGCATTCATTTAGAAAATAGATCAAGTAAGACTTGCTTGAGAAGATTGGGAAATCTAGTGAAATTGGTGATTAAAAAGTTCATTAGGATTAATTGCTTCTAATTGTTACCAAAAAGCTTGCCAGGATAGGTAATATTGGATTTCAATACCCCTCTGAATAGCAAAAGACTTGGATTAGCTCCAGGGACAGTCTTCCTGGGGAGAAGGCCAGAGAGTGGTTAGGGTTGGAAAGGACCTTAGAGATCACCAAATTCCAGCTGCCATTGGAGATGGGAAAAGAAATCAGGTCTGACACCCAGACTGTGATTGTTCCCCTCTGTTGGGAGCTGCCCTCTGACACAACAGTGTTATCTGGTACTTCATATCCAGGGCTGGAGAAAAGGGCTATCACATCCCTGCCATATTGCTGATCCTGTTGTTCAAGTGATCAGCAATTCATTCATTAAAGCCACTGGAGCCTTGCCATAAATATCAGCCAAATTTCCTCCTGGAGTGAGCTCCCGACTCTTCCAATGATAAACAGTTTTATACAAAAAGAAAAGGGGGGGGGGGGTAAAAATGCCTATGCATTTTCCACCCAAATGTGCAAAGTGAAGATCCTGACTAAGTAACCTCTTTTAAAGTCTTGAGCAAGGCCCAGGAGATATAATTGATTTTGATTTTTTTAAAAGCTGGTGCCAATTTCATCAGAAAGATGCCTTGTGCAACTCAAACCCACCGGGAGCCGGCATGAAATAATGGAATGGTTAAGTAACTTATTATGGACAGCAAGGAGAATTTGTAGCAGAAACTGTCGGCATGTCATTCCAGTGCCAGGGCAGAGAAATCAGTTCTAAAATTTATTTCATTTGGTGGTGATGCAAAAAAACAACGGTGCCAGACAAAGGGAGATGGAGCAAGTGGAATATTCCTGTTGCAACACCAAGCTGCTGAATGGGGACAGAACAGTGAAACAATGAGAGAGAAGGGGAAATGGCTTGAAGAGCTGCATATGAGACTGAAATTATGCTGCAAACTTT